TCTCTACTCCTTTGCTCTCCTCCTCCTCCTTGAAGCCCCTTTATTTGTGCTCTTGATCACATGCCCTCCCATCTCCCCTTTGATCATCCATCTCTCTATAATTTTCAACTTTCCTTATTCTTTATTTCCTTTTATTCCTCCTAATATTTCCTTATTCTCTGGCTTTTGCCCTGATTCCTAGAAACATGCCCAAATGTCCCATATTCTTAAAAAACACCTTCATTTCACCCTCAAGCCATCATTTGGTATCTTTCTTCTCTTTCACAACCAAACTTGTAGAAAAAAAGCTGTCTATACTCTATGTGCCTCATTTTCTCAGTCATTCCAATCTGTCTTCCATCCCCATCCATTGACCAAAATCAATCTCTCCAAATTTAATTTCCTAATCCTCTTTCTTGACCTCTCTGCAACATTTGACCTTATTAACCACCTTTTGCTTCTTAATATTCTCTCCTCCCTGGGTTGTCCAAACATTTCTCAGTTGTGCTTCTTTCTTGTCTGTCTTACAATTCCTCCTCAGAAGACCTCATTGAATCATCATTCATGTCTTACCCCCTGTGTGTGGGTGTGCACTGTCCTGGAGTCTCTCCTCTCTCTGTGATTTGTTTTGGTGATCTCCTCAGCAACTGTGGATTCAGCTATCATCTCTATGCAGATGACTCCCAAAGTCCTTATCTGTCCTCCAGAGCTCCAGCATCTCTACTTGGATGTCCCATAGGCATCTCAAACCTAATGTATCTGAAATAGATCTCATTCTCTTTTCCCCTAAACCCACTCTTCTTCCTAACTCCCCTGTTTCTATTGGGGACACCATCATTCTTCCAATCACCCAGGTTTGTAAATATAGAATCATCCTCAACTCTTCATTCTCACTTACTCACAGTCCCTCCTCCACTTATCTAACCAGTTTGATTAATTCTATTAATTATTATTAATAATTAGTTGTTATAACAATATTTATTGTATATAATATAATAATGTATGGTATAAAAATTATAAGATATAATTAATAATAAATAATAATTTATTCTATTGATTCTATTAATAATCAGTATTATTAATTCTAGCTCCTCAACATGTTCTGGCTTTGTTTCTTTCTCTCGACTCATACTACAACCACCCTAGCCTGGGTCTTCATCACCTCTTACACAGACAATTGTAATAGCCTTCAAACTAGGTTACCTGCATGCCACCCATCCCCTCTCTAATCTATCCTCTATTTAGCTGCTAAAATGATATTCCTAAAGTGCAAATCTGACCATGTCACTTTCTTCTCAAGAAGCCTCAGTGGTTCCCTATTGTCTCAACATGCATGCAACACAAACTCTCCTGTCTGGCATTTAAATCCTTTCACAACATATGCTGCCAGTATGATTACACATTCCCCCAACGTGATTTATAAACCATTTGAACTGACCTATTTGCTCTTCTCCATACATGACAGCATATTGCCCATCTCCCATGTCTTTACAAAGGTTCTCACTTATGCTTGAAATGCTCTCCTTCCACCCCTTGAAACTCCCAGCTCTGTTCAAGGCTCAGTTCAAACACTACCTCCCTTCCAAGAGGCCTTTCTTGATTTCTTGATTTGTTAGTGTCTTGTTCCCCTTTCTGTGTTCTTTTGTGTCAGATTTGTCCCGTTATAAGCCTTGTGTCCCAGGTCATACTATAAACTGACCAACGTCTTGGGCACAGAAAACAGAACAGTTGTAACAGTGATGAATCTGAGAATGAAAAGCTGAGTCCTTGACATCTTCTGAGCATGGGACCTGGAGTCAAGAGCTGGGTTCAGGTCTGTCAGCCAACCAGTATTTATTAAGTACCTACTATGTGCCCAGGCACTGTGCTATGGCTAGGCACTGTGCAAGGTGCTGGGGATACAAATAAAGACAAAACAAAGTCCTTGCTCTCAGGGAGATGGAAATGACTATGTACAAACAAGATACATATAGGATAATAAGAGGTAATCAACAGAGGGAGATGGAATTGTAACTACAATACTCATAACTATGGGCAAGCCAGTTAATATCTCTGAAATCATTTCCTCATTTGTAAAATATGTATAAAACCTGCCTACTAAACCTACCTACTACAGAGTTGTTGTGAGAATAACATTTTATAGACCATAAAGCTCAATATAAATGTGAACTATCATAATTATAATTTTTATTGTTCCCTAATCTATCAGGTATGTCTCTTGCAGAGGTCACAGGACCCCAGCAGTTAAAGGTCATGGGACCCTTAATGGGTTCTTTGCTACAGGTCTGTACTCCAACTCAATATTGCCCTCTGGGCTACTTCCCAGACCCAGAATTGTGCTTCTAGGTGAAGCTTAAGCCTGTGCTGAGCTCTATTCCTTCCTCTGAGTCAGGGAAGACCCTAATAAATTGATGGAAGAGAGATGGACTAAAGTATGCAAAAGTAATTAATATGACTTTAGTTTCTTCCCATAGATGTGCATGCAACACCCACACTTTATGCATGCCTATGGTTTCTTCCAAAGGGCTATGCTATAGGGGGCAATGGTAATACTGAAAGACACTTTAGATATACACAAAATATTAGTACAGCAGTAGTACTAATTGGCTATCTACTGGGAGAACCTCTTTTAAAAATTTTCTTAATCAAAGCTAGAACTAAGATGATTTCACTAGAGCCTATTTCTTTTATCCTGACCCACTTAAAGCACCCCCCATGACCTTCATGGGATCTGTACATCTGCCATCTATCCATCTAATCCCAGTGTCTGCTCCTGGTCTACTCAGCCCTGGTCCATGCCAAAAAGAGGAATAGAAACAGCTCTACTATAGGAGACTGGGGCTAGCTGATTGTCTTTTCCTCTACCCAGGTCCCCCACACAACTCATCATGCTCCTAAAATAGTGAGAGAGCTAAAGTTATCCATCTGTCATTTGGATACTAAGCCACACCTTTGCTCTAGTCTTGTTCTATCCTGTATCAGGAGCAAGAGACCTGTTGGCAGGGACAAACAGGTTTTAACAGCCAGACTCCTACTCTTCTTTTAGGTAGGATGAACTAATGGAAAAAACCCTGGACTTTAGTACTAGAAATCAAGAGACAGCTCCACTATTAACTCTTGTATTTGAGCATGACCTCAATTTCCTCATCCTGCCAAGTGGGAATAACAAAACTTATTCAACATAAGTTCAGGGTTGTTGCAAATATCAAATGAAACAACATACATGAAAAAGACATATAAAATTACAAGGACTACACAAATTTATAAAATGAGGATGTTTTACTTATCTCCAAGATCAATCCCACCTCTAAGTGTTTATGGTTCATAGGATTTGGAGCAAGAAGGGACCTTGTAAATCATTTGGACCAATGGTTCTGATTTCTTGGTTCACAAACCCCTTAAGGGTTCTTGATGATGGGCCAAGGGATTCACACTACAAAAACTTTAATGGTACCATAAGTGAAATGTAGTTGCTTAAATGTTATTAGGCCTTTTTATATAAATGTCATTTCTATTCAACAAAAATTTGTAAAACAAAGAAATTTTATATGTTCTTGCAGATCTAGTAAGCACTAAATCTTGCTAGATCACTTCTTTTATTCTTATAGAATGTTCCACATAAAATATTTGCAATCATTTTATAATTAGTCTTCTAATTTTGTGTTTGGAATTTTCATAATTCAGGTAGAATGAAATTTTATATTCTATAATGAAAATTTTAATTTGGAGTTTTTTTGGACATTGTAGCTATTTTAAGCATTTAATGAATAAATCCAGAAGAATATTACCTTGGGGGTTCACAACATTTTGTTGTTGTTATTAAATGGGGTTTGAGGAACAAAAAATATTGGGAATCACTGATCTAGACCACTCCCCTCATTTTACAGATAAGAAAACTGAAACCTAGAAAAGTAAGTTAGCTTGTCCAAGGTCATCCAGATAGGCAGTAGAAGAATGGGGATTCCAAGCCTGGATCTCCTTCTATTACCCTATTCCCTGAAGCAACCTCCAGCTCTTATATACATGAGAGACCCTTCCCCATCCTGAAAGATGAGGGTACATCTTTGTACCTTCCATAGTTCCTAGCACATAGGAGATATTCAATGTTGGTTGAATGAGCTCAGTTTTCTAACTTCCAAACTATAAGGTACTAATAGGAAAGTTTAGTGTCTATTACAACTCCCATGATTCATTTACTCTTTGAGCTGCAGTGAAAAAGAGAAATTCATTCCTTTCCATTGGGAGAAAATGTCCCAGCCCCCTGGAGGAGTTGTGACCCAGTCTTCTGGGCTTGGCTGAGGAAGTAGGAGAGGAGCAGACCTAGGGTCAGTATATGGCACAATTGAAACACCCTTTTGAAATACCCTTTTCCCACTTGCTGCCCTGACTTACTGCTGTGTGACTGAAGGCAAATCACTTAGGCTCTTTGACCTCAGTTCCCTCATCTGTAAAAAGGGGATAATAACAGAACCTATGTCACAAGGTTATTGTTGGGACCAAATGAGATATCATATGTAAAATGTTAAACTCTTATATAAATGTGACAATGATGATGATGATGATGATGATGATGATGATGATGATGATGATATAAACTTCTGGAATTTAAATGACCTCTAGAATCTGAGACCCTGAAATTATATGCCAATGGGATAGAACTTTGGCTGATAGGGTATACTCATTTTTGGTCACAATCTCTCAGAATTTTTCTCTCAGCATTACAGCAGACCATGTTCCACCTTATCCCTATGTTCTTTGGCTCTACCCTCATGGTCCCACCCCCGTATACTACTTCTACCTATCAGAAAAGGATATTTTCCTGTAATTCCATCCTTTAGTATCAGTAGCCTACCACCATTTTAGTTTCTATCTTTTGGATATTAGGGTCTGTATTCCCTGGTTCCACACCCTTCTCATTCAGTCTCTCTGGAACTTTCCACCTACAGAAAGAGGACATTCGACTCTGGTCTTCAACCTCTACCATTCTGTATTCTTATTCCTACTCAACAACACTGACTTACCCAGAACTTGACAAGGAAGAAGGCATTTGAGGGTCCTCGTTCAAAGAGCTCCTTGAGTCCTCCCTTCTTATCAGGGAATTTGTCATAGATCTGGTGGATGTCCACCGCTTCGAGGTAGGGGTCACTGTAGCTGGGACTAGACTGGCCAATGTGTACAAACAGGTGCTTGTTATACTGTGAAGAAAATGGTGGGATCACAAGTGAGGCAGGGAGACAATTTCAGGGCTTCATGGTGTAGTCCAAAGAGCCCTGATCTGGAAACTGAGGTCTAACTAGTTGTGTAATCTTTGCCAAGGTACATCCCCTCTCAGAGCCTCATTCCTATTGGGGGGCTAGACCAGACCATCTCTAACATTCCTCTAACACTCTGCTAATCTAGGTGGACTAATAATTAACACATATACAGTACTTTAAAATTTGCAAAATATTTTATATGTATATATACACACATTTTTGTTGTTGATCAGTTGGTTTCAGTTGTTCAACTCTTCACAACCCCAACTGGGATTTTCTTGGCAAAGATACTAGAGTGGTTTGCCATTTCCTTCTCTAGCTCATTTTACAGATGAGGAAACAGAGGCAAACAGGATTAAGTGACTTGCCCAGGGCCACACAGCCAGATCTGAACTCAAGAAGATGAGTTTTCCTGATTCCAGGCCTGGCACTCTATCCATTGCACCACCTACCTGCCCTATATATACACATACATATTTATTTAGTTTGAGTCTTATAACAACCCTGTGAAGCAGGTCCTATTATTACCCCCATTTTATAGATATAGGAACTATGACTCAGAAAGGATAAATGACTTTGCCCAGGTCACACAACTATTAAGTGTCAGAGGCAGAATTTAATAATAACTGAAAGGTATATAGTGCATTAAGGTTTGAAAAGTACTTCTCATGCATTACATAATGAAACTCAAGACAATCCTGGAAGGTAAGTGCTATTATTATCCCCGTTTTGTAGATGAGGAGACTGGGACATAGAAAGGTTACATGACTTGCTGAGGGTCATACAGCTAGTAAGCATCAGAGGTGAGATTCAAACCCAGCTCTTGTCGACCCTGAGTCGAGTGCTTTGCCCACTGCTCCATGCTGCCTCCCCTGCTTCCTTCCCTGCTTCCTTTCAGCACTGCCCATGTCCTTTAAGGAATGAATGTCTGTAACATATCCCATATGAAGAAGCTCTACCTAGTGTACCTATTATTCTTTAAGGAGTATCATTGGCCAGGCAGGTTGGGAGATCTTACATAGTAAAAAGGGTTAGGCAGGGAGGAGCTGTGGGTGATAAATTAATAAGTAATAAGTAATGAGGGTAATAAGGAGATAGTAATAAATTACTCTTCCTGTTTTATTTTGAACATATTTTCTTCCTCACATCTACCCAAATCCACTCCAAAGGGGGAAGTGATGAACCAATTTGAGAAATTATTTAAACCCAGTTTGGGAAGAGGTCAGAGACTACCTTTGGTGTCTGTCTTCCTCTTCAATGGGATGTTATATTAAGGCACTGTGGAACGCAGGAGGGGGAGAAAGAGGGGAGAGAGAAAGAAGCTTGGAAAGATAGGGAAGGGAGATAGCCCAATTAAATTAAAATAAACCCAGGGATGAGAAGATGAACCCCCATCTGAAAACTTTGGAATGAACTTTATACGTTCATCAAAAGATAAAGTCAGAGAAAGGGAGAAACAGGAACACAGAAGGAAAGAAGAGAAAGGAGAAATGAAATTGAAGAGGGAAAAACAAGAATGAAAATGAGAGAGAACCAAGAAACAGAAGACTTTCCTCAAAGGGGGAGAGAAGAGAAGGAAGAAGAGAAATGAAAAGGGAGAACAGGTAGAAACAGAGACCAGAAAAGAGATAGAAAGAAGAGAGATATGCATAGGGAAGACTAAGAAAGAAACAGAAATAGAAACAAACTCAGGAGGGAGGAAAAAGGGATTAGGAACAGCATATACCTAGACAGGGAGGGAAGGATGCCCAAACTCACAAGCGTAAGGCCAGGGGGTCAAGGCCTACCGTGTCTGGGTCTTGTTGCTGCTCCAAGAAGGCAGAGAACTCCAACATCCAGAGCTTGGAGCTGGCCACACTTCGGCCTTGCCATGGAGGGGTTGATGGTGACAGGGTGGACCCAGCAGGAGATTCAAACCCTAAGTACAGGGGGAGAAGCCAATGGGGACCAGAGCAGTCCCTCCTCACACACACACCCACTAAAGAAGCCTCACGTCCCCTTCGGAAACAGTGGCATGGTAAAGTAGTGAGTAAGAGCTCTAGTGTAAGTCTCTGAAGGACAGGGCTTGTGACTAGTAAATAACACACCAAGAAACACCTAACTGTGTTAGACCAAACCAGTATCATTTGGTACCAAACAAAGGAGTTCTGGAGTGGGGACAGGGATACCTTTTTCTAAATCTGCCACAAACTTACTGGAATTCCTTAATCCCTTGCTCCAAATCTCTGTGCCTCAGTTTACCCCATCTCATAACTCCAGATGTGGAAAGGAAAGGGTATGGGATGATAGGAATAAGAAATAGTGGACAGGACTCTAAGGGTTCTGGAGACAAAGATATCCCAACAGGATGAGATGATTCATATACCTAAAATTGAGGAGGGAAGCACAAGGCTAAAGAGGGAGAGGCTGGCCATGGAGCCAGTGGCAGAGGCTAGAGAAGGGATCCACTGTCCTCACCCTGCAGAATTGCTAGGTCAATGGGTATCTTCCTCTCTCTTTGCATTCCCACTGTACCCATCCAAGTTTACTAGGTTTTGAGCTTGGAGGTATTATTAACCCCCAAAAGGCAGAGTAGCCTGACAAGAGAGCAAAGACTTGTACAAAGCCTTTGCCAAAACCCTGGGGAAATCCAAAGTCAAACATGTCCCAGAATATCAGGAATCATTGCAACCTGCAAAAAGGGGGAGGGTAAGAAAGAGTGTTTTGTCTTACTGCCTAGGATGGAAGATGGTTCTACCCACTCCATCTCCTTCCCACCTCACACCATGTGATAGAGACATGGATGGAGAGATCACCTGGAAGAGGATAAGAAGGGGCCCATATAACAGGCTCACACAGCTGAAAGAATCTGGTTACAATGGCATCTATCTAACTCTATACGCCATTGTCCTAGTACTGACCCCACTCTTCTTCCAGACCCTCCCTGCTGGTAAAGGCTGGGGATCTCTTAGGCTTTCTAAATTGTGGGGAAAAGGTTCCACAGGAGATGAAGCTGAGCAGAGGGTAGTGGGGCACAAGGGGCAAAGTTGCTTAAGGAGGTCAGGCATGCAAGTGGCATTCATTTGGTATGCAAAGGAAGCCAGATATTCCAGCCAAGCCAAAAGCATCTGAGCTGAGCTTGAGGGGCTAGGTATGCTAGTTGTATGTCCATACACTGGATGAGGAGTTTGGTAGTTGATGTAACCAAAGATAGAGAGTGTGAAAATAAGCATGCCAGTGAGGTTAGACATGCATGTAGGTTTCATGTGCTTGCTGCCATAAGGTAGGCTATCTAAGTAATGGGATGTACAAACTGAGTATACAATCAGTAGGAGGCAAGAAAAAAGTATACACATTGGCATTTCAGGTAGGCATGTTATTCCTTGAGCCCAGAGCATGGGATTTGGGGAGGATGCCATGCAAGAGAGCCATGCAGCGCTGACCCACCTGGCAGAGGGAGCGGAGGCTGAACAGCATAGGTTTGTTGAGAGAAAGGTTTCACACTGCAGGAAACATGGGAGAGAGATTGTCAGCTGAACTTTGATTGGAGTTGGATACCCTCAGTAGGAAAGATGCTTAGGCCCAACCCTTAAATGATCTATACAGCAAGCCTGTCTGTCCCTCCCACCCAACTCTTTCCCCTTAGTTTTTATATTTGATCCATAAAGGAAATATTTCCATTGCTGAAAAAGGTAAGCCTCTGGTGGACATATTGCATAGACATCAGGCTTCCAGCTCCAGGTAATCCTCTTGGGATTCTGGGCCCAGGGAACCTGATTTAATTACTGCTTTAGTGATGTATTAACAACTGAGACACAGTCACTCCAATAAAGCTATGGAGAGTTCAAACTACCAATCTCCAAACATTAGCTGTCCTGGAAAAACTGTACTCAGGCCTCTGTCTATCTTAGAGGCCAGCCCTGGTGTCCATAGCATTATTCAGAATCTGGAAGCTGATGGGACCACAGGTCTCATAGGTACAATATACCTTGAAGGGTTATGGAGAGAGCAAACAAGAGCAGAGCACAGGACATACTCACTCATGGGAAGTTCCGGCTTGGCCTGGCAAAGTTCCTTGCCAAAACTGAAAGGCAAAAAACAGAATCAATCCAGTCTAGCTCCCAACTAGGGCCATGACTGAAAGTAGAAGAAATGGAGATAGGGGCCTGGGTTGGAAAGTGAAAGTCTGAACCTGAAACATGGGGTCCCTTTGTGCCACTATGGCTGAGAACACTGGAGAATTTGGAGGAAAGGGGAGCAAAAGGAAGTGGAATGAGAGAGTGTAAAGTAGAGGCTACTAGAAAGACTAGCAAATAAGAGGCAGGGGCCAGTGAAGGTAAAGTTCAATTATCTATTTAGTTAATAAGAATGGAAGTTGTAGGTTTGTTCTTTAGTATCCCTTGGAAGTCTGCAGTAGGGCTGTGTGTGCACTGAGGCCCTGCTCTACCTGTTTTTAGGTGAATCATGTCTAAGACCAGTATAAGGAGAGAGTGTTAGCAGGGGATTGGAGAGTGACAAGCAATGGATAGAAATTATGGGTTATGGCTGTGTCCATAGATTCCAGTTTGGTTTCATCCTTAGGCCAATAGCTTTGTCCAAACCCAATGCTTTGTTCTCTCCTCTCCAACATCCCAAGCTAGAGAGGAGGCAGTGATCAAAATCTGGACTGTTTTGTACTTGGAACTTAAAGAGGATGGGGCGAGGAAGGTGAGAAGAAGAGGGGTGATTTAACCCTTTACTGTAGCATGTCCACTTACCCCTGAGACTGCTGGGTAGGCTGGTCCCCGGGTAAGGGCCATTTTATTGTGGAAGGCTGTAGCAGAGATGATCTGAGCAGATGACATGGTAGCCATATTCTGCAGGGCTTTGTCCTTAGCTGCCTGATCCTGAGGAGAAATGGGAAGGGATGATATTGCAGTGATCTTGATGCAGCCAGAGGACAGAGAGGGACAAGGCACATGTGTATAGAGAAGTCAGGGAGGAGAGGATTAACAAGGGAAGAAGGTAGCAGTCCCCCAGCCCTAGTGAAAAGAGCACCTGCACAGGAGTCCAGGAAACCTATGTTCTAGACCCGACTCAGCCATTAATCAACTGTGTGACTGTGGAAAAGATCTCCGAGTCTCAATTTCCTATGGATGTAACAATACCCACCATGTTTACCCCACAGGGATTTTGTAAGGATCAACTAAGACAAAGTATTGAACAGCAGAAAGGGCACTGGATTTGGAATTAGAGGTCCTGGGTTCAAATTCTGATCCTGTCACTTACTACCTGAGTAATTTTAGTCAAGTCACTTAATCTCTTGGGTGTCCATTTCTTAACTCTAAAATGAAATTGGATTAGATGATCTCTGAGGCCCCTTCTAGCTCTTAATCAGGGATCCTTCACATGAAAGGGCTTCAAAAAGTTAAAATTGGAATGTAAATGTATGTAATTAACAAACTGTAACATAGTCCACTCTATCCTAGGAGACTACTGAGAAGACATCTGTTCCTCCTTAGATATGAAGTGTCAGCCTCAGGCAGATATGTCTTAGTTAAACCTATCCTCATTTCTGAAGCCTTCCTGGATTGTCTTGAGAAATGATGATATCTAGCAGCCGTATTCTAAACCAGGGACTTTCCCGATTCAAAATGCATATACATAGAATGTTGTTGTTATTGTTCAATCATTTCAGCCATGTCTGACTCTTCATGACCCTATTTGGGGTACTCTTGGCAAAGATACTGGAGTGGTTTGCCATTTCCAACTGCAGCTCATTTTACAGATGAGGAAAAACTGAGGCAAACAGGGTTAAATGACTTGCCCAGAGTCACTCAGCTAGCAAGTGTCTGAGGTCAAATTTGAACTCAGATCTTCCTGACTCCAGGCCTGGCACTTTATCCACTGTACCACCTATAGAATATCAACACATCATTCTGCCATCTATATGTCCTCAATGTCTAAACTCTAAACCATTCTGTTAAGTGCCCAACATAGGGTGCATACAAAGTAATTTTTGTGATGATAAGTATAGATAGCATATAGTGCTTTAAGGTTTACAAAGCACTTTAAGTGTCTGAGATCAAATTTGAATTCATTCTTCCTGACTCTAGGCATAGGGCCTCTATCTGCTGTACCACCTAGCAGCCTATATCAGTACCTTTCCTGATGTCTGACTGATAATATGGTGATAGTTATAATTATTATGGTGATGATGATAACAATCCTCTGTTCTGTGGAATGTAGCTATACTACCCCTGGGTCTTTAACAAAAAGAGTTTGTATTAGCAAAAGGGAGAAATAGTCAAATGATGATGATGATGATGATGATAGCTAACATTTATATAGCACCTACTATGTGCCAGGCACTGTGCTAAGTACTTTACAATTATTATCTCATTTGATTCTTACAACAAACTTGTGAGATAGGTGCTATTATTACCCCTATTTTACAGGTGAGGAAACTGAGGCAAATGGACATTAAGTTACTTGCACAGGGTCACACAACTATTAAGTATTTGGGCCAAATATGAATTCAGGTCTTCCTGATTCTCATTCCAGTACTCTATAAATCACACCACCAATGAAGATGCTTGATTGGGCTAAATTAGGGCTTCGCATTGGCATGCCTACTAACCGTGGAACAGGAGATGATTTTTTTTTTTGCCTAGGCAATGGGGTTAAGTGACTTGCCCAGGGTCACACAGCTAGTAAGTGTTATGTATCTGAGGCTGGATTTGAACTCAGGTCTTCCTGAATGCAAGGCTGGTGCTCTAGCACTGCACCACCTAGCTGCCCTGCAAAGGAGAAGATTTTGAGTAGTCAGGGCCAGCAGACACTAAGAAAAATTGTGAAGCCAGTGTCCTCATCTGTAAAATAAGAGAGTTGGAAAAGATGACCTCTATGATAACATCCCGCTCTATATCTCATACTCCTCCCCCTCCACTTTCAGTGCCCCTTTCCCCACATCTGATAGGGTCTTTGAGTCTTCCTTCTATCCCTTTCTCAATCTCAGCTGACTACATACTAAGCCCTAATGCTAACTGATTAGACTTAAAGTTAGATTAAAATGTGACCTTTCAGGGGCAGCTAGGTGGTGCAGTGGATAGAGCGCTGGCCCTGAAGTCAGGAGGATCTGAATTCACATCCAGCCTCAGATCAAACATTTGATACATACTAGTTGTATGACCTTGGGCAAGTCACTTAACCCTGATTGTCTCACTAAAAAAAAAAAAGAAAAAAGAAAAAAAATGTGACCTTTCCCAGAGATATCTGTATTTTGAAAACTTAACATGCCACCTCTGAAAGGTTGATAAACTCCAAACCAATACAGTCTTGCAGGGGGAAAGAAACAAACAAACAAACAAAAAAAAAGGGCAGGGAGGTGGGGGAAGAAGGGTCTTAAATGTTTGTTGAGTGGAACTGAATCTCATTCTGAGTGACCAGGGCGTCAAATTGAACCCAAACTTCTCCCGGGTGCAGGGGACTTGATGCCATCAGCTGGGCAGGGAGGCGGGGAGGGAGAGGTGTCTGGAGGGGAGGAAAGAAAGGGATGTGCATGATGGGGAAAGACACCCAGGCACTGGACTGCAGCATACACAAAGAACAAAGAACAATACATGGAGGCAAAAAATTGACTACACAGTGTGGCCCAAGCAAATTCACACTCACTTTTATGGCTCTGGAGATAACACAGGAGCAATTGTTCTCCATGATAAATACCCTGCTGTGGTCTCCAGCCCAGCAGCTGGTTGACTGGGGATTTGAACACAGAATGAGAGAGGGCAGTAAGGGGCAGGCTTAGGCAAGAGGAAACCCCAAGGCAAACAGGGTTCAGGATGTGGCCTGGGGTGGTGGAAGCTCCATGCACGCATGCTGTGGATGGAGGGCCAGCAGCTGCAGCCTCTCCAGCTGTCACTTAGAGGTGCCTCTACTACAGCTGCTTAGGGGAAGGACAGGTGGACTGGTCATAAGTAAGTAGAGCTGAAGGGGGAAGGGAGGGTTTAGGAGAGACAGCAGGAGGACAGTGGGCTGTCTGTCCTTCCCAAGATACTGGTAGAGGCCTGGGGTTCTAACTCTTTACTCTGTCTCAGAAGTCCAGCTCCCAACATAGAGCGAGATGTAGTTTAAGTCAGCACCCTGGGCCACTGTCCTATAACCTGGTTCTTTCAGGAACCTGGATGGACTTGCAAAGAATCACTAAGAGCTGGCCCTAAAAGGCTGCCTGGGGGTCAGAGGAAACTTCTTATTCAAGAGTAAGAAGCACAGAGACAAATGAGAGCCTCAGGGGCCACAGATCAGTGTTTATTTGACACTGTTGCCACCTTTCTCTGTTCTTTCTCACTTTCTACTAGCAGTATCACAAAAGAGACTCGTGATGATTCAATTTCAAGAGCTCTTGGGTTAACAAAGCCAAGGAGAAGGGATGAAGAGAGATTTCCCCTTGATGGGTAGTGAATGAAGTTGTTTGCCCTCAGGGTCCCTATCCCTCTTGCTGCTGGGGGAAGCCAAAACATCCTAGGACCTGCTTTACCTTTAACTTGGCTTGGATCTCCCGGGCTTTCCGACGGGCTAGCACCTGGATGTGGCTAGATACCTGCCAGAGAGAAAAGAATACATTATGTTCTTGTCTCACACTGCGCTGAGGCCCCTTGATTACCTTCCAAGGGTCTCTTCTGGTGTGCCAGAAAGATAAGAGACAGAGGACAGCTACTACTGGCTTCTCTTCCTAGTTCTGGTGCTTGCTACCTGACTTTGTACAAGTCACTTTCTCTCTGGGCTTCCATTTCCTTACCTGTAAAATAATGTGATCAAAATCCATTTCAACTCTAAATACTTTGATCCTAGGGGGTTCTCAGGTTTGAAGAGGTGTGCTTGCTCTTGCAGAGATATGGTGCATTATTATCATAAGGGATAGGGCAGTAACCGACCCCTGGCCCACAGAAAACTAGTTCACATAAGCATTTTGACAAATACACCAACCCTTAAATTGGCACCATCACCAAAGGTCATAGGAAGACACTTTCTTTCCTTTGAGGAAGCCTGCAGGTTGTGAGATATTGGCTCCTTGTTGTTAACCATGTTAATACTTGTTAGCATGTTAAACATGTTAGCACTCACCTGCTTCCTGGTTCGAGTTTTCCCGGTCCGGAGCTTAATATAACGAGCAATCAGCTCATTACGGCCTGTAGAAACAGAAGACAGCTTGCTAAGTCAAGGAAGATGGGGGTAAAGGACAGAGGACGGGGATCAGAAAAGCCAGAAGGACTGAGTCCTGGCAGACATAGTTGTGGTGTCAGATCATGATGATGGGGCCTGAGAATGAAAGAATCAACAGGGTCAGTCTGCTTCCTGGGACTGAGGACCTTTTGCAGGAAAACTCACACTTGTTCAATGTATTCATTCAATCATCTCACTCAGCACCTTATTCAGTTAGTCAACATTTACATGTCCAATGAGCAAGGTGCTAAAAGAGGATAATGAACTAGAAGAGGACTCTCCTTTGAAGGAATTTACAGCCTAATTACAAGAATAAGACTAGAATTCTCTCCCTCTCCAGTTTGTCAGTTTTCCATCTCCTTAATTAAATAACTACAGAAATTACAACTCTTCCAGGAAGCTTTCCAGGACAAAAAGGAGGTGGGGAATGCTGATTTTCTCTTGGCCTTATGCCATCATTCTTCCTTTAGCATATAATATATGCTAATCCATAAGTCTAAAGTGAACCGGTTTAATAAAAAGTGTTTTCGGGGCAGCTAGGTGGTGCAGTGGATAGAGCACCAGCCCTGGATTCAGGAGGACCCGAGTTCAAATCCGGCCTCAGACACATAACACTTACTAGCTGCGTGACCCTGGGCAAGTCACTTAACCCCATTACCTAGCTTTAAAAAAAAATGTTTTCTGTGATCCTGTCCTCAAGGAGTTTGCAATCCAATTGGGGGTAAAAGACAAGACACACATGTGGAAAGTGAACTAGCAATACTGAGCAGGAAACAAGTACCAACAATAAGAACACAGTGAGAGTTCAGAAGAGGAAGATCATTGTGTGTTTTCGTGACCAAGGAATGTTTTATTGAGAAGGTAGGGCGATCAAGAAAGAGGTAGTATATGGTAGGAGAAAGAGCCCTGGCCTTGGGTCAGGAGATCTGGGTTTCAATCCTATTTCAAAGGCTTAACTGCATACAGGATATAAGACCATGGGAAAGTCACTTAACCTTTAACACTCATTTGTTTCATTTATAAAATAGGGATAATAATTTACTACCTCCTTCATAGGGCTGACGAAAAGAAAATACTTTACAAACCTTAACATCAATCTGGACCTATGATTTCACTGGTGTAGAGAACTTCTAATGAGGAAATCTCCCTTGATGAATGTAGCTCAGGAATTATTTGGCAGCTTACAGCTTTAGAGATTTGCCCGAGAGCAGTGAGAGGTTAAGTAAGTGTCAAGTGTTTGTTCTGAGGCTGGATTTGAACTCAGATCTTCCTGACTTCAGGGCTGGTGTGCTATCCCCTGCGCCACCTAGCTGTCCCTAGAGTTGTATCTTGAAAGCTGGGTAGGAATCAAAGAAGACACCACTAACTCTCCAGCAACTCTTCTACCCATCTCCCAACCTCCAAATCCAAGTCCTAGGAGAATCACCCAAGGCCCCAGAAGTGCCCATGTTCTTGGCACATAGGAAGACCCACAGATGATAGAGTTGGGCAAGGTAATAATAGTAGCTAGCATTTATACAGTGCTTTAAGGTTTGCAAAGAGTTTGATCAACCCTAGGAGGTAGGTGCTGTTATTATTCTCATTTCATAGATAAGGAAACTGAGGCAAACAAAGTTTAATGACTTCCCATGACATCATACGGATAATAAGTGTCTGGGGTCATATTAGAACTCTGGTTTTCCTGACTCCACGTGCAGCACTCTATCCACCATACCACCGAGCTATAGGTAGGATAAAAGCAGAGAAAAGTGGGCAATGACCACCTGGGCCAACGCTGGGCTGTCTCCTCAAAGACTTCTTTGCCTACTGCCAAGGTGCACAATTATAGAGTTATAAATAAAATCTTAGATGGCATGCTTATCAAATCTGCAGATGACATGAAGCTAAAAGAAACAGCCAACAGGTCAGGCAAGACAACAAAAGAGCTCTCTATCTAGGTATATAGATATATAGAGACATATTCTTGACCAGGGCTTTTTAAACTTTTTCTACTCCAGATGTTGGTACATGCTTTGTTTTTAGAACCAAGGCTGCAGTGAAGTTTCCTGGTGCAACATGGGCAAGCGCTGGCAGAAACACCTTGGATTCATTACATGTTTGATTTTTAATTAATTTTTGGACATTGCACATTCAGAAGTCTTTTACTGTTGCCAAATTTTTTCACAACGCCATATGGGATCATGACCCAAAGTTTAAGAAGCAAAGACTACAATCTATGAATAGAAGACAATCTAGACTACATTGTTAACTAAGTATTATGTGTGTGTTCCTGTTTCTCCAAGTTAATTATACACTTCTTACTAATAACAGCTAGCTTTAATCTGGTTTTAAGGTTTGCAAAATGCTTTACTATTATTATCTCATTTTATTCTCACAACTACCCTGAGAGGTTGATGCTATGACAATCTCTACTTTACAGATGAGGAAATTGAGGCAGACAGAGGTTAAGTGACTTGCACCAGGTGACACAACTAGTAAGTGTCCGAGGCTGGGTTTAAACTTTTGGTTCCTAGTCCAGCATGCTATCCAGAGCCATCTAGATGCCTCTTGAGAGTGGGAACTATGTCACATATTTATTTTATATCCCCTATAGCCACTACTAGCACAGAACCAGGTACACAGTGAATGTCCAATAAACCTGGCAGAAAAAAATAGAAAGCTAAGACTGCAGAATCAAGATTTTAAAAGAGCTGAAAAAGCTACAACCAAACCTAATCATCTAAGATTTAGTAGGGATAAATGTAAAGTCTAACACTTAAGTTTAAAAATAAAAATCATCTTTATATGTATAGTATGGAAGAGGCATAGCTAGACTACAGTTTATGAACAAAAAAGACCTGGGGATTGTTCAATATGAACCAATAGTCTGACACAAAAGCCAAAAAAGTTAATGTGAACTGAGGTTGCATGAATTTATAAGCATATCGTCCAAAAACAGTTAAGAAGCACTACTATTTGGTCAGGCCATATCTTGACTAATATTTTCACTTGTTGGGGCCTCATTTTAGAAAGGACATTGACAATCTAAAGCACAAAAGAAAAAAATGACCAGGATGGCAGGGAAAAATGGAAACCATACAAGAAAAGGAATCAACCAAAGGAACCACAGACATCATGAGGAAAGACAGTGGTAAGGCATCCGGCAGAAAAACTACACTCTATTTATGGAGAATGTCAAGAATCCCCCTACAAAGAAGAGAAAGGGACTCCTAGTAACCAGGATTGGCACAGATGCTTTGTCAGCTGCTCTAGGTATGCTGCTGGTTCTAAGATGCTAATGAGAAGTCCTCTGACCCTCCAAAGTTCACAAAGTCCTCTCTCTGGAGACAGAGATAGACAGAGAGAGAGAAAGAGACAGACAGACAGACAGACAGACAGACAGACAGACTGAAAGACTGAGGCTCTTCTTTTCCCCATCAAGCAATTCTTTCTCTGGGACCTGGCTGGAATGGCTCTTTGCTCTACTGCCAGACAATCAAATACCTGGTTTCTAAAGTAGTTGGCTGTTCTATACAAAATCCATGGGGCATGACCAAGTCTTCTCAGTCAATCTGAATATACTTCCTGTAAAATGTCCCTGCATTTCATCCAATGACTTTTAAGGACTTCTAAATTGATCAAGCAATTCTTTTTATTAATTTATTTTGATTCATCCACAACCACTTCCATAAGCTTTTGAGTTTTAATTTTTCTCCCCCTCCCTCCCCACTTCCCTCCCTAAGACGGTACTACGCAATCTGATATAGGCTATACATATACATTCCTATTAAACATATTTTCACATTAGTCACGTTGTAAGGAAGAATTAGAACCAATAGGAGGAACCACCAGAAAGAGGAAACAAAACAAAACAGAAGAAAAAAAAATAGTAGATAGAATCCTTCGATCTACATTCAAACTCCATAGCTCTTTCTTTGGATGTGAATAGCATTTTCCATCATGAGACCTTTGGAGATGTCTTAGATCCTTGTATTGCTGAGAAGGGCTAAGTCTATCAATGTTAGTCATCGTACAACATGGCTGTTGCTATGTACAACATTCTCCTGATTCTGCTCACTTTACTCAGCATCAGTCCATACAAGTCTTTCTAGGTTTTTCTGAAGTCTGCTTGCTCATGATTTCTTATAGCACAATAGTATTCCATTACATTCATATACCACAACTTGTTCAACCATTCCCCAATTGACAGGCATCCTCTCAATTTCTAATTCTTTGCCACCACAAAAAGAGCTGCTATAAATATTTTTGTACACTTGGGTCCTTTTCCCATTTTTATGATCTCTTTGGGATACAGCCCTAGAAGTACTATTCCTGGGTCAAAGGTCAAGCAATTTTTTTAACCTCATCTAAAAACCTTTGAACAGTTGATTCATTTGTGATGCCTAGGCTTCGCCCATACCAGGTTCACACCTCTCTGATTGCTTGACTTAATGGAAGTGTGTTCATGTGTCAATTTAAGTGGAATGGGAGGGTGATTTGACACCCCTGTCAAGCTTACAGCAGAATAATAGAATTGAGTTGGAATAACTTCAAGAGATTATCTGATAGTCCTATTCACTTGTTTTACAGATGAGGAATCTGAGGCCCCAAGATATTCAATAGCTTGGTCAAAGATGATCCTTATCTGTAAAATGGGGATAATTATAACACCTACATTTCAGGGTTGTTGCAAGGATCAAATGAGATCATACTTGTAATGAGCTTAGCAGGGGCATATGGTAGGTAAATATTTCTATATTTCTTTCTTCCTTCCTTTCTTTCTCCCTTACCTTTGTGCTCCTGGCCCTCTTTGTCCCAACCTCAAAAGAGCCTCCATTGCCAGACTCTACCTTAGCCTTCTTTTGCCCCTGCCCTGAACTTCCTAGGAGATCCTGTAATTGGGATTGCTGTAATTGGGAATGCTGGGGCATTGTCAGTATTGCTTCTACACAACAGGGAAAACAGAAAGGGCAGGAAGTAAGGGAAA